CTGACAATGATGTCATGGATGACAGTTTGATGTCTGCTGCCATGGATGCTGATAGTGATGATGAACAGCTTATCATTGGGAAGAAGAAACCCAAAAGCAAGTCCACAGCTTGGATAGATGAGGAGGCAGAGGATGATGATGATGAGTTCAAAGGTTAAAAAATTGATGCTAAAAGCTGTTAGAGATTTTTTTGTACCACATGTTAATTACCCTGAATAAGATGGAATGTTCATCCCCTATAAATAACCATTTCCACAAAATTTTGATGTTTTACATGACCTCTTCTTTGGATGACAGTGCGGGAGGGAGGCAGTGTGGCTGAATGGTTAAGTTGCAGTTCTCATAATCCAGGGGTCTCTGGTTCAAGCCTTTCACTCTGCTACTCACCAGATTTTTTCTAGGATGTCCCAAGTTGGTCTGCCTCCCACCAGCTGGGGTTCTGAAATACTATGTTTATTACAATGTTCATTTCCTGATATTTATAAAGGTATTGAGACTTGTGAAACGTGTCCCAAGAACTGTCATTATTTTCAGGACCACTCTTTTCTGGTTGATCACATTACATGACCAAGGCCACTCATGAGTTTAAATAAGTTACTTTTGAGAAGTACTAAAGGCTACTTTCAAATAATTGAATTCTCATTGCAACAGATTGTGATCAAGCAAGTCTTCATCATGAAGTTTCCATTCTTTTGAAAAAAAATTACTTAATTTTTTTGGCCTAGTTGTACCTGCATGAATATTGTTCTAATTTCTACCCCTTTTTATATTTATATTTTATATTTATACTTACTTTTTCTCACCAAACTAGACATCCGCAAACTGAAAGCAGCTTTGGCAGCTCCATTAGACTTTGTTGATGGGGGGAATGATGGAGACACAGCTAGTGAAGTGTCTGCACCACAGGCCCCTAAGAAGGTAAAATTTTAAATAGATTTGTTCTGATTCACAGCTGTCAAAGACAGAATTAGTATTTAACTTGACAGGGATAGAGCAATTCACTATGTGCATAATTTTTATTAATTAACAGAATTCCTTCCACCCTCTTACCCCAAAAAGTTATAAACATTTGTTTCAAGAAGGACTAAGTGACTGATATATAATTATTTTGTCTTGCTTTTGACTTCAGGAAGTGATCCACACTCCATTTATTCCAGTACTCCAGCCTCCTTTTCAACCAGGTTCAACCCCAGTCCACTTAATGCACAGGTTCATGGTTAGTAAATTATATTGTTTAACTCTAGTATAGTCCTTTCCTGAGTGGAACATGCTTTGGGCTTGAGCCTTGCTTGCAGACTACATAGTAATATTTCTGGTGCAGGACCTTTTCCTAACCTCAGTGCCTATCACTGTCCATCTTCAGGTATGGAATTCAGTTGGAATAGTACGCTGCCACACAGAAGATGATATATCATCAATAGAGGTTGAATTCCATGACACAAGCACCCATCACCCTTTACATCTGACCAATCATCTGAATCACACCATGGCTGCACTGTCATCCACTGCTGTTTTGTTAGCATGCAAAGCTCATGAAGATTCACCAAGGTACTGTAATTCTCAACAACCCTTTCTATCCAAAGGTCAGCATATCAGATATCCATACAGTCTATCATACATTTCTTATAATCCTAGCTTTCAAACAAGCAATAGCTGCCATTATAATCCATCAATTAATTTATCTTGTGCACAGTTGGTCTAAATACAACAAAATGATACAAAATGCCCAGGTGATGTATTCGAAGTGATATTCCCCAATTTGCAACCCTACCACCACTACAATAAAAGTCTTTGTTTAAGATTTAATTCAAGATGGGAGAGAGTTTAGCTGCTGTTAGAAAAGGAAGGACATATTTTTTTGTTTTGTTCATAAAATCATACCAGAGAACTAGGAAAAAGTTTGTAGGCTTTTCTTGGACCATATTGGTTCCTCATAGCTCACAGTGTTCTTCAAGCTTTGCTCTCAGAAAAATGATTACATCTTGGAACAGATGATGTTTGCAGACAAAATTAAATAAATTATTTTCTTGCCAAATGGAGGCTATTATTTATTTCTGTGTTTTATTCCTTTTCATCAACTTTCTGTGTGAAAATGAATTTTTATTGTGAGAAGAAAATTTTATTTAGGTTGGTAAAATGGTTGACATATATTTTCAGGTGAGGGGTGGGTGTGGGGTTTCAGAGCATGTCAGCTTGGGGGCTTTTCCAGGGATGCCTAGTGGATCTTGAAAATGTATAAATTTTATGTTGCAAAGTGTAACTTGGATTATTTTGCATTGTTGCAGTAAGCTTGTTTGCATCCATTTTGGAAGCTGGGATAATTCAAGAGAATGGACTGTTGCATTACCTGAGGGAGAATCAATCCAAGTATGTAGGCTAAAAATTCCCATTTGATACTTGAAATATGAAGTAAATATTAATCTATTCAATTTGAATGATTTCAAGGTAATGAGCTAGGATTTTATTGATGTTTTAAGTTCAAAGACACATAACAAAAGATATAGCTTTCAAGCACTGGTAGTATAAAGGATATAAAATAGTTTCTTCTTTGAATGACAGCAGTTTATGAGCAGGCTGCTTGCAGGAAGATCTCAGACAAGTTAGGAGGAGTCTGCAGGGGGTCTGGCACTCATTATTAGTGTCATACTTTCAGGTGAGGGGTGGGAGGGGGGGGGGATTTGGGAGCATGACAGAATCAGGGGCTTTTTTAGGGCCAGTCTGGTTCTCAGTATCAGGAGCAAAGTTTGGAATGAAGCACTACAAACTATTTACAGGCCAGAATAACAGGGGCCAGTAAATACAGCATAAAACTTGCTTGTTTCATTAGTTGAGTCAAAACAGCCTTTTAACTGCATTTCAATCCATTAGGCAGTGGCAACTGGCAGCTCTTTTGTAGCTGTTGCAACTGACAAGCGTTTCCTTCGCATCTTCACCATTGGTGGGGTTCAGGGTGACATTCTGAGCCTTCCTGGCTCAGTAGTGTGTATGTCTGGACACAAGAACCAGTTGATGGTTGTGTTTCACATTAACAACCCCCTCCCTGGTGAGCAAGCTTTAGCTCTTAAATTACTGGATTTGAAGCACAACCAGGAAATAATTGCAGAGGAGAGGGTGTTGCTAAGTGAGAAGTCAACACTGGCATGGCTTGGGTAAGAACTAAGCAACCTTACTACAGGCACTTGCTTTTAATCAGCTCCCCCTAACCTGCCCTCCCTTATCAGCATTTCCAGAGGTGATACACCCTAAAATCTTGAAGGAGAGGAATTTGGATTTATTTTCGGAAAAAGCCAACTTATTGTTAGGACTTTTAACCGCAAATTTTTCTGCATCGTTTCTCTGCACCTAAAGTTTGAAAGAACTTTAAACCTTTATAATCAGAACTCCTCTGGTGGGTTGTTCAAAGCATGATTAAGCAAACAGAAGGAGCTTAGCTTAGCAATACATGACTGTGCCAGAGATAGTAATAACAGTATTTAGAGATTTTGCAAAATTTGTTGCTATGTAACAGTAATTTCAATTGCTTGATCTTTTCTCTTCCCTCAAAGTTTCTCTGAGGAAGGCACTCCAGTCACTGTTGACTCAGCTGGTGTCATAAGACTGTTGTCCTGTTCCTTTGGTACATCATGGTCCCCAGTTTGTATCACTAAAAGCAATGTAAGTGCGAGACTGATGAAACCTTAAGCATCCCAGGAAAGCTCACGTGTTAATTACCTGGTGCTCACATCTTTAGAAGAACATGTGAGGATTGCCTTCGCTACACAAAGTCAAGGTTTTTTTATGGTTTAACCTACCACATTAGGTGAAAATAAAGAAACTAACAAAGAAGATCAGGACACAAAAAAAAAGGCACTTTACCAAAACGAAAATTCCCTAAAATGAAATTTGTTGTTCTTTCCTTTTATTTTCGTTGGTTTTATTTACCAGTAGGTTTAAATTTTTTAACAAAGGTGTATTTTTTCCAGCCCATGTCCAAACTTTGCTTTCTTCATATTCTATTTGTTGATATTTTTTATGTTGCCGTCTTTCTACACTCAAATTTTCCTTATTGCTCCTTTCCTGATGTGAACCTATCCCCTCTTTTTTTCCCATTCTGTATTCACCTTTTCTCTTCTCTGCTCTCTTCTTCTTCTATTTCTTCTTTCTTCCCTCTTTTCAATCTCCTTCCCTCCATTCTTCATTTTTCTAGGGTTTCTCATCTCCATCATCCTCCTGTTTTTCACTGTCTCCCCTTACTCCCTTCCACCCTTCATATGGTCACTTTTTCTTTTCTCTTTCATTCCATGACTGATGTAAAATTCAGGGATTACTTTTTATTTCAGATGAAGAATAAGTCTGACAATTACTGGGTGGTTGGTTTGGATGAGAAAAGCCAGCAGATCAGGTATGACACCTCCTTCACCTTTTTTCCACTTCACAATACAGTGCTTTCAATGAGATCTGGCACTTGCTGGAGCTCCAGCGTGTATTCTGTTATGAATTGCCAAGTATACTCTGAAAGCTTTCAAGCAAACTCACGAAGTGAGACCTAAACACCTCAAGATCTTCCATAGTTCTTTCAGTTGACTATTACCTTCATAAACAAGTTTTGATAAAAATGATTGAATCATATAATCCAGCATACATTTCATACATTTCAAGCAAAAAGAAGATTTTGAGTTTCCAAGAACATACTGACTCAATTCTTGGTAATCAGTAACCATGTGGCCTTTCAGAGGACTTTTTGTGTGAAACCTAGGGAGCAGGCCGACGTATCAACAAATGGAAGGTTTTGATCAGAAATAAAACTATCAGTTAAACAATTGTTATAAAGGAGACAAATATTTACAGAAGTAACACGGAAAATTCTGTTTGTGGTCAGTTCATTTTAAATGGAAGAAGTGGGATAACAAGAGGAAAATTGTTTTTTATATAATTCTCTGGCGGTTGCTTTACCAAGGTAGCCAGCTTCTTCAAATCTTATTAAAAGCACTGCAATAATCATAAATCAACTTTGGGATAGTCAAAACTCTCAGGTTTCTCGGTAACTATATAACACAGTATTTTATTTGTTGTACTTCTTGGCCCATTAAGGTGCATCTACTGCAAGGGGTCAACATACCCACCCACCCTGCCACGCCCTGTGCTTGTCCTTATGCCATTGCAACTTCCGTTTTGTGAAATGACGACAGAGAAAGGACAGCTAGAGGTATGTGGAAACTAGAAAAGTATTGTTGAAACAGGACTGCATTATGTTAAACCAGAAGCACATATGCTTCTTACTAAGTTAAGTTAATCCTCTCAAAAATGATTCACCATCTGCCATTAGCTGCTCATGGAGTGATTCATTAATAACTCACCTTAATGCTCATAGCAGACGGTTCTAAATGTACAGTACATGTAGTTTTATCTGCTTATTAGCTGCTTATGCTGGATGTGATTTAAAAGGAAAGAATCGAAAATCACAGGAAAAGTATGGTTTTCCTTTCGTGCTTTCTCTAAGCATGGTTTTCAACCTGTTGTATGTTTACATGTGTGGTAATTTTTACGGTATGTTTTTACGTTGAAGACCGCATTTGCCATATCACAAGGTGAAAATTTTGTTTTGGTACCGAATGGGTTTTTTTTTTCTGTGTTCTTAAACAGGAAACATATATTCGGTCAAAACTCATGTTCAGAGCATCTGATGAGAGAGATGAAACTTCATCAAACCTGGCAAAGACATCTCAGATTCAGAGCATCATGAAGTTGTTTGCGGTATGTATCCTGTTATTATCATCACTATTATTATTGCTATAATAACAATAATAATAATAATTATTATTATTACTATTATTATTATTATTTTTATTGCTATTATCGTTATTTAATTTATTTTTTGGTTCGATTCAAGGAGTACAATTTGAGCTAATCTTTTTGCAACCTTCAAGTTTTCATTTCAACTATTGTTATATAGTTTTTTTTTGTCAAATGGATAACTTGCAACCAATCATATGGCTCTCTGCTCACTTATATTTTGTGTTGTTGAGAAAAGAAGATATTGTGAATGGTAAAAAATATGATGTCACTGTTTAATATTTTGTGGCGTCTGTGGTGGAAGTGATTTTATCACCTTGAAGGTCTTTCAGACGTTAAATATTATTAGGAGGAGGTGGTGTGAATATGGCAGCAATACGTTTTTTTCTTTTAAATTTAGTTGGCCTGCAAAAGTGACAGAGAGTTCCGTGCAATGGAGTTGTGTGAACTTCTACCAGATGCCCATTCTGTAAGTATATTCAGTGACCTTTTCGAGTTCAACCCTTTAACCCCTAAGAGTGACTAGCATCAAATTTCTTCCTACAATATCACCTGTCAATCACATGTTAAGGTCATGAAAATAAAGGAAATGATTACCAATGAAAGAAGCTTTTGATTGGTAAACAAATTCTCCTTGTTAGCACCTTAGGAAATGTGTTAAGAGCAGTATGGAGAATATGCATACTGATTTTAGGGTGTAAAGGGTTAATAACCGTGTTATCTGCTTCACTTGTGTACTCTTAATGTCATGATTCCTTTTAATTGGCACAAGAAAAGGCCTTGGCTTTAACGTACAATCATTTTTTTAAAGATGAGTTTCAATCAGACCTGGTTAAGCTTTTGTTTACTGTTTGAGACAATTTCCAATGACCTAAAAAAATAACTTGTATGTATGAGTGCCTTTGTCATTAAGTTAAGCCAGCAAAATGTACACATGTTGACCTGTACCAGGCTTTTAATCAGTGAAAGAGGTGCCATAGTAGAGCATAACCAAAAAAAGGAGAGGGGTTTTTAGTGGAAATGCATAGAGATCCCAGGCTAAGCGTAAATGTACTCGCAAGGAGAATGCAAAACAAAAAAAATTGCGTCAGTGGAGGTACGCCCAGTATTGTCACTTGTCTTTCGACAACTTTTTATAGTCAAATCACCAACCCACATATAGGATAAGTGACCAATACCTGCAGAAAAAAATGATACAACATGACTTAGTGTAGCTCTTTCCTTCCTAAGGTAAGTTTAGCAATAAAATATGCAGCACGGAGCAGACGCATGAACTTGGCAAATCGACTGGATGAGTTGGCCCGTGAAAAGGCAAAACTGGCCGCTGAGGAGGAGTTTGAGGACGATTTCCAACAAATTGATCGGCCTGTAAGGAGGAGTAAGATATCTTCATCAAGGGTGGGTAGTCATCGGCCTTCTCATATACCACGAGAAGTTGAACAAGAGGAGGAAATCGAGGAGAATGAAGTGGACGATGACATGGATGTTGACGATGACGATCAACAGATTTCCAGAAAAAAAGGTGGTGTATCACTATTTGCGTTTTTCTCAGGTTGTAGCAAATGTAAAAATAAAAATAAAAAAAATAATAAAAATAATAAAAATAATAATAATAATTTTAAAAAAAACAGCTCAGGTGATTTGCATTTTACTGAAAGGTGCACCCACATTCCAGAATTTTTGTGAAAGACACCTCTTTGACTGAAACGCGTTAGCACTTGTACTAGCCTATACTTGGCTTTCTTTAAAGTTTGTCTTCTACGCAGACTACTAATATTGATTTAAATGATTCTTTTACAGCGAGGAAGGGCTTATCAAGATTGGATAGTCAAGACTTAGGATCAAAACTCATTTCAAATGCAAAGTCTAACCCACCTTTGTCGCCTCTTCCGAGCTCAAATCCAAGTCAAGGCCGATCTAATCCCTTCAGAGTATCTAGTCCTGGAAAAAGGGCGTCTGGTGTGTGTGGGAAGAGTTTTTTCGACAGCGTGGAGGAAGAAAAGAAAGCATCATTGCAAAGGAAAAGCAAGATATGTGAGTATAGCCTTAATTTTGCTAAAAATGGTGTTTATATTTTGAGAAGTCTCTCTGCACGAAAGAAACTGCACTGTTATTGAATCTAACCCTGCAGTCGCTCTGAGGAAGGGTTAACGCTCGAAACCTTAGCTTTATTAATTCTTTACAGTGGCCAATTTTCATTATAACCTAACACGCACACCAGGCCTACCTAATTCCTAGGGAGCTACCGCGGTAAAAATGCTTACGTACGCTCAGCCGTGCATCCATAACATGACATATGTCGTTTCGCTTTGGCTGAAATATCTCGTCGAGTTTAGCCTTGAGGTTTTAAAATTGTCAAGAAGACTGATTTTCCGTTTCATCCTAACTGAGATCGACCTTTTTGAGTTCAAAATTGAAAGAAAATATGCTAAATAATACTCGTTTCGAAAAACAATTTGCGTGTCATATGAACTTCGTAATAGACCTCCCTCACCGTGGAGTCTCTGTGGCTCAGTGGTAGAGCATCAGAGTGTGGAACAACAGAAAAAGATTGACAGCGAAAAGTGTTTCGCTAATTTTTAAAGACTTTTTTTATCAGTATTTTGTGACGTAGAAACTTCTTTAGATATTTTAGAAGAATGAAGGGTTTGTAAACAGAATTTCAACCTATTCTAGGCTTTCACCAGTAAAACAAAGCGCGATAGTAAACTGAGAAGTGATAAAACAAGGGAGGCCTGGGTTGACTTGACCCAAGCGTACCTCGCGATTTTACTTAGCATATACTATGACGCCGATTGTTATTTCGCTCTGTTTTGTTAACTTGACACCTGGAACAGGCTAACAGAATTTTAAGGTATAAACCCTTCTCAAAAAGCACTCTACCTTACAGCTCCAGATTCCAAGCCAGTTCAGAAAAAGAAAAGAGGAAAACAAACCACTTTGATGAAAACACCTCCAGAGAAAGAGAAAGCAACAGTGAATAAGGAAACATCGCCAGAAAGGAAAAACCCACCCTCTAAGAAGTAAGTGGAGAATTGTCCTTTTTTTCAGTATTACATCATTTGACCATTAGAACACTGGAACACCCAGTATTCCGTGCTGCTGGGCTAAAACACGAACAGAAGGAAGAGCGACAAAATGCTTCCACTTAATGATTTGTTTTGGTTTTCTCTTAGCAGGCTTTTTAAAAAACAAACTTTAAACGCTTCAGATTTTTTTGTTGGTATTAACACATTTAAATGGTTTCATTTGGGTTGCTTTCATCTTTTGTGCATGCCTTATGCGGTCGATGCAATGCTAAGTTGAGGCTCAAGGATCTTTTTCGAAAACTAGAAGGCAAAATTATACTAGAAAAAGAAATAATGGAGTGGTTGCAAGTCCCTTATTCGATGGTCTAACATGATAAAAGCGGACATTTCCCCGTGGTCACTAATTGCTCTTGAATCTGCCCGTATTTATACATCTTATTCGATGGTTCATCATTTGTTATTTGAATTTCAAACTCCGAATATTGCATTTATAGTTTTCTGAGTGGTTTACTTAACTCTGGTTTTCAGCTCATATTCTGAATCACCTTAGTGGCAACTATTGTGGAGCTGAAAAAGGGCTCCAAATATCCAAATGTTGTGGATTTAATGAAAATCAAGAAGAAAATTATTCCATCTGCGCTTGTTGGATACGCGATTGGATATGGCCAACTCATAACAAATGTGCACGTATAGAATAATTGTTTAATATGGGCAGGTCTTTGCAAGTTGCATTTTCTTTTTTTTCCACGCCCCGTAGGGACAACTTGATATACTGGGGAAAAGACATGAATTTACAAAATATTGGTAACTTGATGACCAAACTTCCTTGTCTAATTTATAGATGAGATTTCTAATAACTCAAAGAGAGGAGTATTAAAAGATCTTGGAAGGTAAAACGTTCATGTTTTATTTCTGACAGAGTGAATGGTTTTACCCTTTGGTTTGAGGAGAACAAAGGAGGTTTGTCAGAAGAAAATCCTGAGCTGACTGGTACTGATCTTGTTAAATCTGCCATGCGACAATGGAAGGCACTTGATGAAGATGAAAAGATGGAATGGAACAATAAAGCAAGGGAAGCTGCAGAGGAAACGGAACAAGGAGAAAAGAAACGCAAAAGAGAAATGTCAGATGAGGAAAATGAAGACTCTTTAAATACAATTAATTTAGCTAAGAAGACAAAAGAATCAGGGGTGAAAGTTACAACATCCAAACTGGCAGGATTTGTTTATGACAAAAATTAAGTGCAGATCTCCTGGTCAGTGTTAATTTATAACAGTCATGAAATTTATAGTAACTTGCCTGTTGTCTCCAAGACTTTCTTGGAGTCAGCCACTAAGTACAGGTTTTGGTTATGGAATTGATAGATTGATGGATTCAAGCAGTGGAACTTGACAGGAAAACTGAAAAAACAAAAGAACAAATGGGAACTATTGAAAAGGATTAAGATAACATTTAACTGCATCCGAGAGAACTTTAAGCATTCACTTGCCATTTTCAAGATTTTTTCATATTTATTGTATGAAAATCTCATTGCTAAAAATCCTTGCTATTATGTGGCTGTGGTTTTCCCATTTTAAGATTGTTGCTACTGGTTGAAACTATTTAAAGACTAAGTTTGACACTTTTTTATCCTTAGTTTTGCATTGTCCCAGAACTCTTATTTTATAACTACAACTAAGACAAGCGGGGAAATCTCATGTCATAATTTTTTGAAAAAATTGATATATTTACTTGTCAATATTCAGTATCAGAATGAATTTCAATAAATTCAGTCATTTGAAAGGATGGGCATCATTATTGTATCTTCTTGTGAAGAAGTCGCGATGTACCTTGATTTGTTCGTATATCAAAACTATCTCTATAAATGAGAAGAGTATGACAGTCTGAGTTTAAACCTTCATGGAAATTCTCTGTCTTGTCTGAAAAATTCCCCCCAACATAATTAATATTACAACTAATTGCTCTTGCACTATAAGTTGAGAGGCTTTTTCCCATTGCATCAGAGAGAATAATTTATCATAGTATCTCCATTACTATCCATACACCAGTGACAGCTGACAATTTTCCACTTTCCTCCTCCTGTTGAGTTTGCTTTTGTCTTAAATCTTGCTGAAGGTTTAACATCAATAGAAACAAATTTAAAATCTGGTTTTCTTTGTATATGGAGTTATTTTGTGTTTTCTCCAACAACAGTGAATGGAACATGTGGTTCTGATGTTGTTATTTTTCCACCAATAACAACGTATCTTTTTCAAGAGAAAGAAAATAGTATTCTATGAATCCATTTCCAATCAAACAGTTTCTTGTATATATTGTTGTTCCATTTAAACTTCTCTTATATTTCTTGATAACACTGAGGACATTTAACGTTTTAAGATTATTGATAAAAGGAAGATCAAAATGGTTATTTTCATCAAAAAAGAAAGAGTGTCTTCCATTGTGTATTGAAGTTGGTGTTTTTGGTCCGAGTGAAATTTTATTTTTTTCTATTGCACGGTTCAACCTGATTGATCGAAAGCAGTAACACTAAAGTTATTATAATGAAGTACTTCCCTGTTTGAGATGTGGTCTGTGTGATATCAACACGTTGCTTTTTCGTTGATGAATGTCTCAATAAAGAGACTTCTGCCTACATGCTTTCACAAAAAAGAGAATAAATTGGTTGTGTCGGTTTTTTCAACGGCATACTACTTGTTGCTGCGTCTTCGTCGTCATTTGGATTGGCACGATTGACGGTCTTTATTGTCCAGATCTTCATCACCTGGTTCTCCAGGATTGCTTGGGTCTACCGAGAAACTCATTTTCAGAGTTTTTTTTTTTCAAATCAAAGAATTCCTTCAGGCAAACAGCCTTGAATAAGAAGTTGAACTCTTTGCGTCAACTAACTTTTCTTTGATAGCATCCACAGTTTTTCTTTCCAGTCAACCTGGTCACTTCACTATTCAAAGCTGAAACAATTTCTGCAGGTTTTTGAAGTTTATCTCCTGACTCTATTGGAAAGTGAAGAGACGTTCACTTGAAGTTTGGTTGAATTGTTCGACGATTCCCTGATCTCTGTAAACCTTCACATTCCCTCTTCTTATCCTCACATTATGCTTTTCCATTTCTCTTGTGGCTTCACCCATGAATTCACGCCCAGAATCAACCTGAAGAACTTTTGGCCATCTCAATGGTCCTCGCATATAGATTGTATAGATTGTCTGAAAAGCTCTTGAGACCTCAGGTGTGGTGAGAGGTTCAGCAGCCTTAAATGTGCTTGCCTTTGAGGTTCTGTCTTATTAGGCAGTTTCATGAAGCTTCGGCTTCGCCATTAGCGCGCACGTGTTCCGGGGTAACTCATTGATGGTGAAATCCCGCTGTTTTAGCAAACTTGGCAAATTCTCTGGAGTTGAACGGTGGTTCGTTGTTACTTTTCGGCTCTCTTTAGGTGCCATGAGTGGCAAACATTGTTTTGAGCTTCTCCATGGTTGGTTTAGAAGTTGTTGAGTGGGTCTTCGCGACCTCAGGATATCTTGTTCTCTTCTTCATGGCCATTAGATTGTAATGTTCATCAGGGTATGGTGCACTGAAGTCTACAACTATGACATCCCACGTGTCTGTGACTTTAACGGGTTCCTGCCTGTGTAGCTTTGTGGTAACTTGACAAGCATAACAGTGACCTATGATTTGTTCAATCATACTGTTCATGCTTGGGTACCCATATTTTCCTCCTATAGTCTGCTTTGTTTTGGTCATCTTGCATTCCCATTAGCCATTTTTCAATTTTTGGTGGGAGTCGCGTGGTTGCCTTGTTAAACATTGGGAGAAATGGCTTGTGGGCTGTAATGATCTTTAATTTTGGTGCTCCCAGGAGGTAAATGCTGAACTTGCGCTTTGCCCAGTGTACTGCCAAGGCATCTTTCTCTGTCTGGCTGTATCTTTTCTCTGAATTGGTCATGGTGCCACTTAAGGAGTGAACTGGCTGAGACGGCAACCTGTCTCCTAAATAACTGGGCTGAGAGTCTCTCAGATGACATTGAGTAAATGCTATTGTTTGGATAAGGTCCACGATTCGTTCATCGCAATTTTGAAGTCGCAGTTGTTGGCTTTCTCTCTTAACCGAGCAGCACAGGGGTTAGTTGTTTTCGTCATGGGCTGATCTCATATTAAGGAAGACGTATCTTGGGTAGTATTTATTTTTCTTCAGCTTGAAGTGGTCGTTCAGCTTTTTCTCAAATTTTCGTAGTCTTAATCGCCATCTGTCAGATTTGGTAAACTTTTCTCCAGGCGGGCGAGTTCTTTTCTGCCATAAATGATAAGTGCATCTTTATAGTCGAGTGGTTCGGTAATCTTGAAATATCTGAATTCCCATTAATTTCTAAGAGCCAGTCGTCCCACACGTTTCTTGTGGCTATTGGGTTATCTCCTGGGGTGAATGTTGAGATCTTAGGTTTCTTGTTGCTTTAATATCTTGCATTGCACCTGCTTAGTTGGGTGGTGGTTGTTCCGTGTCAGACATGTTTGCTTGTCTAGCGATGGATTCACGCGTCGCAGTATTTCGCTTGTTGGCCACTCTTGCAAACCTCTGTTGCTACTGTTGTGTGTTATCCTCGTCGCCCGTGTAGCCAGCGCCTCTATATAATGCACTCTTTTAATAACTAAACTTTCTGACAACTACAAACACGTGGCATTCTTTGTTCAAAACGGTATGCGCATGCACAAAATGAATTACAGTTGTCTGGGCAGTGGACTGGATACCACAGCTGGTTGACCATATTGAGGAGTCTGCGCATGTCACTCACATTTTGGGAAGGATCTATGATGTGCATGGAATCTGTCCTCTCCCAATTGCACATTTTTCATCTTGGTTAGGAACACATCCGGCAAACTTGAGTTCTTTTTTTGAAAATTCGCATTTTCCAGTATTAAGAGTTGCTTCAGCACTCTCAAGTTTCTTAAGTACCTCTTTGAGTCTTCTGTCATGCTCCGCCTGCGTTTTAGTGTGTACAGACATATTGTCAATGATAGATATTTGACCTCTTATGCTTTCTAGTGTTTGTTTCATCTTGTTCTGGCAGTGTAGCACCTAAGTTTCTTTAGAAACTTACCCTCTTTATTCATTTGTCTTTTCAATGCTTTAGTGTTTCTTGAATAACGTAGCAATGATTTATTCATCAAATTTTAACACCTATGTAATAAATATCTATATTCTGTTTAAGCAGCACCGAAGTTAGAACAGTTGTTCAAGATTTCTTACAGCAATGGTTTATTCTCATAGTGCATCCCTGAAGTACATGTCCAAATGCACTTTCAAAATGCAGCCTCAAAGGTCCCTCTAAACTGTTTCCAAATCGCATTCTTGAAATTCAATTCTGAGCTACATTCCCAGAATACGTTCTTCAAATGCATCATTAACATAGTTTGAAACTCAAGTTAACCCCAAAGAGTACCTAGCTTTAAATTTCTCCCTAAATCAAGCAAGTAGGTCATGGGAATAAAGGAAATGGCTTTCACCTTAAGAAGCTCTTGATTTTCAAACAAATTCTTGTTGTCAGTACCATATGAAATGCATAAAGAACAGCATGGATACTAGACATACTGCTGTTTGCATGTTGAGGGTTAAGAAAAGGTTACACAATTGCAAACTCTCTAAAGAGCAAGAGGATTCACAAGTCAACGAGAAGTTGATTTCTTGTCTTTAACCGTACTGAGTTTACAACATCCACACTGATTTCTTCACAACCTTTCAAAATGAGTTTTCTCAACTTTGGCCATTCATTTCTATTGTGCTTAATGTACCACTCCACCAGCAATGCATCTGTGATTCTTGAACATGCACTCAGATCAAGGGTTCTAAGAACAGGAAACATAATAGCCAGTTCTCGTAGATTATTGTTGGTAATCATTGGAATTTGTGCCAGGCCTAAGTAGCAGAGAGTCTTTCCCACTTTTTGAGACAGAAAGTGTAGTTGATCACCACTGATTCCACGGCAGCTATTTAGTTCTAACCACTCCAAGGTTTGGAAATTGGGAAAATCCCATAGGGATTGCTCTTTGGGCACAAATGAACCAGTCAAATTCAGCCTCTTCAAAGCAGGAAATTTAAGAAGCTGTGTAAACATAATGGGATTATGGGGACATGTCACATCCAAGCTTGTAAGGTTTTCGTATGGTACTTTGTTACTTGGAAATGCCCAATCAAGAATGTGGTTTGTTAGTCTTCTGCTGTTGTGATAAGTGTCACGTACATCTAATTCAAATGTTTCTAGGCTAGACAACACACCTTGTTCAACATCGTGTAATTCTCCTAAAACAAATTTAAAAAAATACTTAGCATGTTATCAATACCGCAGCCCATGTATGCAAACCTTAAAAAAAGGAAAATAGACAGTTCACCTGCTTCACCATAATCCGTGAGCCATATCAAACTCAGACACAACTTTCGCAAGTGTGGATTACTACTGACAACTGCTTTGAGCCAAGACATCTCTACTGACTCTTGACATACAAGTGAGATGCTTGTCAATTTCCCACTGCAGCATAAAGCCCTCTGCACATCATCTGCCAGTGGATTTGAGCCTGCTAACTAAGAGGAAAGAAGACAACAAATATTTTCCATATTAATGCATTGCAAATGGCTACATTCAATGTATATTTTAATATCATAACCAGCTAGTGCCTTTGATGTTTCTCAGTTTGTTTCCTCCAAGTTCCTTGATGGTCAAATTCACTGCTATGACACATGAATAGCCAATTGTTATTGACTACATCACTTTCAAGGGGCTAAAATTTGGAATTACCTCCTAATACTGATCACTGGTTCAACTAGCTCCTTTAGATTAAAAAAAAAAAAAGTGATTGAATTTTAAATGAAATTAGTCAGAATTCACCAATCGGCACATCCTCAACTTAATTACATATTGACAACCAAGGTGGCCTCCCCTATAAACCTGGGCTCAGTTGTATAAAGGACAGACAACACTATACAACCCATAAATCACTATCCAGCGGATAAGTATTAGGAAAATGCTCTGCACTATCCACCGGATAAAGATTTATCATGTGGATAGCCTTTTCCCCTCTTCAAACAACCAGTGCCAAGCGTTTTCTTGGAGGTCACTTTCTTTCATCATTCTGTTGAATGGGAAAATTGTTACTTTGGAAGTGACAAAAAAATGATGATGATGATGAAGAAAAGGGTCACTCTTTAAAAGGGGATTGGTAACCATCTTATTGAAATAATCAACTTTTATCAGTACCATTGGCTCTTTCATTGTCACAGTGGTGATAAAGATGAAGAAACACATTCTTAAGTCTATCTTCAACATCCCCTTGTAGGAAGATGACAGCATTGTGACATATATACCATAAATGGGTGTTAATGGCATTTCTATGTACTATGAAAAACTTTACATTTTGCAGATTATTTAACATTTCACCAATAAATAATTTTCCACAAAAAAGCACATTTACCAACAATTTTCACGCTTACGTCATTCACATCCACTCTTCCAAAGCTCACTTCTTCAATTGAGGGTAGGCTTTTCAACACTTCTTCAAAGGTCCGTTTTATCCTTTTTTGTAACTTTATGTCCACAGTTCCAAATGCAAGCCTCCTGAGATTAAGTTTTCCCTGGGAAGCAGCGTTGTAAAGAGCTTCGAGAGTAAATTGAGTCGTAACTTTAAAGGTAAGTTTCTCAAGGTGAGGACATAAAAGTGGCTGCACGGTTTTTGTTTCATAAGGTTTTAAATATGAGTGCACCATATTTTCGAATTCCAGGTTTCTTATACCTCTAACTTTAAGGATCTCTATGGCCTCGGAGGCAATCTTTCTATCGTGAAGTCGTATCTTTAAGTTGATATATCTCCAGAGATGAGGAGAGTTAAATATTTTCCGGAAATGTCGGTTTAGTCGTGCCATGATTCCTATTTGGCGCGGACTGAGGTATTGTGCGAGATACAAGACCACATCATCTGGCAGAGAGCTCAGTGGAAAACAAAGATTCTGTGAACGAACTAGAGGATTCATGTTTACAGATCAGAATTCCTCAAATTACTAGAACAATTCACGATCGCACGTGTACCGTCTCTTCTCCTCCATGGTTTAATTTGAGCAGCTACTGGGAATGAGCTTAAGGACACTTGGTAACTTTTATATAAAAGCGTTGTTATGACACCGGTAAACAAACATGGCGGCTGGTAGAAAGGCAAACTCTCTCTGTTCAGTGGACTTTGAGGTTTTTGGGAAGGTACAAGGTAAGTTTGGTTAACACGCATTCGATCGATGAAGCCTATGGCTTGATAAAGAAGCAACAGCTCAGCTTTATCATCCAACGAAGAGTGGAAAATGACCTTGGAAGCTTATTAGCGAAATAAGGTTTTTAGGTTTTTTAATATCTCAACTTCATTGTAGGCTTTCCTTTCTACATATAGACCTTCCCACCCCTCCTTGTTCGTTTTCCTTAAATCCCTAACGGTTACAGAAACTAGTTGCCAACGCTTTTAATGATGACAGAAAATCGAAGGTTTTATAAACTTTATGAACTGACTCACTCTCATATTTCAAAGTAACTGAGCTGTTTAATTCTGATGCACGTTTTTTTTTTCCTTTTTTCAGGTGTATTTTTTCGAAAGGTAATATTTTCTTGATTAAACAACTCCAGCTCTGGGGTTCAAACTTAGCACTGTGAATGCGGTGTTAATTGCAACTTGATATCCACAGAGGGAATGCAGTTTTCTTTCAATGTTTTTGGTTTGATTTTTCTCCAAGACCCAGACATCAAATTGTCCTCATGTCCAGCTGCAGGAACCTGTTGCTTGATCTTCTGAAAAGATTATGACTTTTCATCGGAACATTTTCTTTAGTAAATTAAAAATTAAATTAAATCAGCAGTAAATGGCAACAGTGCTTTCCAATGGAGTTTTCCTATTTAGCTGGACAGCAAGTCAACAACATAAATTAGAAGGCATTCCTGCAAAAATTGATCTGCAGTTCATGAGAGGGCTGCATGTAATTGAGATCTGGGAATTAATACTGATAATAGGACAGAGTGGAGTCCAATTTGTGTAAGTAATATCTGGTACAATTTGATGCAAATAAGCTTAGCTAAATTGCAAACAGAATCACTTGAAATAGTAGTGGATGTGCAATTTGTCGTCATTGAAAAATTTACAAGTGCTTATTCACCCCAAATTACATGAGAAATCATGTAATTACCTATTAATAGTTTACATTACAGGTGTCGAATGACAGCCAACTGTCCAATTATGCTTTTACAGAATAATTATTGTAAAAGAAAGCAGGTGTATTGTTTAATATGTTATCTACTGC